GTTCAGAATTCCAGGAAATAACTCTGGGGCTCTAAGCGATAGACTTGGGTCCCACATGTTTAGCTTAATAGAAATCCTGATTTCATGAAATTAATTAATTAATTAATTAATTATGATACATCACAAAGAACAGAAGCACAACCAAAGAGTGCAAATAAAAAACCCAATATTTATTTAGATGTTCTATTCCTAGAAAAGAGGCAATATAGGAAGATACAATTCTTTAGCTGAACCAGAGTTAATCCTCTTACTTTGAACAAATTGAACAATTTTCTAGTGGATAGTCTTCTACTATCAGCCAGACATAATGTCTAGAGCATTATCTGTATTACAAACAGCAATGTTGACATACCTAGTAACCATTTACAATGTTTTCCTTTCCCAACCTACCTGACACTATACAACTTGTCTGCAGTACCCACAATTGACCTAGCATTCCTCATCCCTTCAAACATGGTATTTTCTCACTTCCTGCACTCAAGAAAATAATCTTGAGAAGGGCAGGATGGATGCCTTGCTAGAAAATACGTATGAAGAAAACTTATTATGCCTCCCTGCTGCAGGATTCAAAACCTGTTACACTCTTAACCATTGAGGTCATCTAATGGAAATCCCAAAGGTGCTTTACAAAAATCGACTGGACTTTCTTAGGATTTTTTTTTCCTCTTGAAAATGTTTTGCTTCTCATCCATTAAACCAAAAAACTAACAAAGCCCAGTTGCCTTTTGAAAAGCATCTTTGGGACAACCATAACCTGGATGATTGAGAATATCTACAGACAATCTAATGGAAAATGATGTGGTATTAAAAGTTGTGCCCTTCAGGAACAAGTCAAGATGTTGACTAGGACACAATTGTGGTTTTTTTTTTTTACTTCTTCATTTACGTCCTCCTACCTACCCCATATTCATAGTGGTAATCTTTCTCAGTGAAGCAATCGAAAATCCATAATCATCTGCAGAAATTAAATTCCATATATAGAATTCCAAACAAAGTCATATGCTACCTTTTCCCTGGTGAATCTTGCCGTTGTTCTGCTCCGTCCACTGAGAAACCTGGGACTCTCCTGATGTTTGCTCTGATCAGTCTAACTTCCCAACTCTGCACTGACCCCTGGTGTAGGCTAATTTTCATTCCAGATCTCTCCACCCAGAAGGGGTTGGGAGAAAGGCGATAGCTGGGGAAGAGCCAACCACAGGAATGTCCCTGGAGATATTCATAGGATTAGGCTTTGTACTTACAACTGCCTGCCTCCCAGCTGTACTTGTTTTTTTCTCTCAGACTCATCACATACAGAAGTGAAAGAAATATTGTGCAGCACCAGGCAGTGTATGTAAGAAAGTAGAGCTTTGAAGGAGGGCAGCAGCTACTTCCTAATATTTTCCAACATATGAAGAAAAATGCTAAGACATGTTAACCAGCCTCACTATGAAGCAAAGGAGGCACCTGTTATAAATGTTTCAGAAAAGGCCGTTTGTCTAGCTAGCAGAACATTGTTATGTGGACATTTTATTCCAGGTGCAAGTATAAAAATAACCCTGCCTAATGAAAAAAGAATCTGTGGCTCAGTGGCTAAGATACTAAGCTTGTCGATCAGAAAGGTCAGCAGTTCGTCCGTTTGCATCCCTAGTGCAGTGTAATGGAGTGAGCTCCCGTTTCTTGTCCCAACTTCTGCCAACCTAGCAGTTTGAAAGCACGTAAAAAATGCAAGTAGAAAAGTAGGAACCACCTTTGGTGGGAAGGTAACAGCGCTCCGTGCGTCTTTGGTGTTTAGTCATGCCGGCCACATGACCACAGAGATATCTTCAGACAGTGTTGGCTCTTTGGCTTTGAAACGGAGATAAGCACCGCCCCCTAGAGTTGGGAATGACTAGCACATATGTGCGAGGGAAAGCTTTACTTTTACCTTAGGACAGGAAAACTTATTTTTTATTATTACATTTATTGGCCTCCCATCTTACCACAGGATAACTCTAAAATCAATAAAAAGCCTCTTCCTTTCCATTCCAAGTTCTATTTTTCTCTGTAACATTTGGACAGGCAGATGGAATACTGAATAATTCTAAAATCCTGTAATTGAGGAATATGATACCATGTATTTCCAATAATGAAGAAATGGTGTATCTCCTTTGTAGCCAAAACAGCATCACCTAGGCACAAAGAAATTATGCTTCCCTGTGAAGATCAGACTGGCTTCTTCTTTCTTGGGTTTCTACAAGCTCCTAAAGACTGAGCTTCCTTGGAGAGACTTTTCCTGATTTGAGGAGTTGCCATCTTTTATCTTTTTCTTGTACCTAGTGATGTATTTTTATTTTGGTTTCTGATAAGTAAGATTACATCAGCATACAGATCAGAGGTGGGTTTCTGCTGGTTCGCCCTGGATTGGGCAAACTGGTAGTGGCGGTGGTGGGAGGCTCCGCCCACCCACCCAGATGCATGAGCGTGCAAGCATGTGAAACCCGCCACTAATACAGATATGTCTAATAAATAAAATCAATTTGCTAAATTCCAAAGCAGCAGAGCCTATTGCAGTGATGGCGAACCTTGGGGGGAGCATGTGCGTGGGGCACTGTGTGCCGAAGAGAGAGCACTTTGTGTGCATGGTCTTCTGGACCACGATCAAGAAGACAAGCTTCCCAAGCTGCATGCAGATGCCAGAAAATGTACTTCTGGTTTCCGGCATGCATGCAAGTCTTCTGGTTACTGTGCATGCACCAATCAGCTGGCCAGTTTCAGGCACTGCTGCATGCACAGAGCCAGCTGATCATCGCGTGCACATGCACGCCAGAAACCCAGAAGAGGAACAGGCAACACCATGCGTGCAAAGCGACATGGCTTTGTGTGCCACTCTGGACACGCATGCCATAGGATCGCCATCACGGGCCTATTGTCTTCACACCATGCTTCAAAATATGCTTCAGTTTTTCAGAAGCATCCAATCTGGCCAAATCTGGGAAACAGATATTGAATATTTGCTTGTGCTATCTAAACTGGTACATTTACTACTCATTTTCATAGTAAACTGAAGTGATACTATACTAGGCACCATCCTACACTGAAAAGTCATTTCTTAATACTCTGAGTGCTGCTTGATACTAAAATCTAGAGCTAGAGTCTCTGAAATACTCAAAGATTTGTTTCGTTTTGGTAGAGCAAACTATGTGAACCAAGCCACTATAATCAGTAATCAATGCTTTATGGTTTAGTGCAGTGCGTGATTCCAGCCCAAAGATCGCTAGCTGATGCAGAGAAACATGCTGAATTGGCCTTGAAAGTTGTTCATTTTATTTTTAGGGTACCATTCAACTGAAGAACATACAAATAAAATAAAGTGAATATTGGTTGTGGTTTGTACGACAAACTTGGCTACTGCATGCACAACACCACTTACTTACCCCATGTATAGATATTTAATATACTTGTTTAAATCCCAAAGTATGTCATTCTAAATTATTTTAACGTAATTGAAATGATTTATAGTGCTAAAGTATTTGTTTTATGGTCATTTTATTGGAAGTCTTGGATACTAACTTCTGTAACCCATCCTGGCTTCAGTCAATTGAAGCTTTTAAATAAATAAAGTCCTCACCACCAGTAATTGGGACTGGGAAGTCCATCACTAAACGACATGGATTAAGGAGCAATGTCATTGGACCATGTCAATTTATGATGACAATTCTGGCAGTCCCAGTTGCGATCATTAGACAAATCCTGTGCAGTTGCAATGTCCATGATTCCCATTTGCAACCTCCTGATGGCTTCCCTATTGACTCTGGTTGTTGAAAATTCAACTTTGGGAACAACTATAATCACAGCTCAGCTTTTCCCCAAGTGTGCTCACTTAGTTCAGTGTATGCTAGGGTCTCTCATCTGCAGACCAAATACTCGTTGCCAGCATCCTATTATCTAGAAAGTGTTTGCTGTAAAAAGAATCAAAAAGATCAAGAGTCAAAAGCAATAATGAGTGAAATGTATTAAGCAGCAACAGATCCAAAAGTGCCTTTAAAAAGAAATGCTTAAAGGAGATTAGGGGGTCAGAATTATGTTACCACCAAGTCTCATAATCCAGAGACTTATGGAAGAAAGCAGTGGCATCTGCTCTTAAAGGAACAACAGGCTCATAAATTTATTTATGAAGAAATAGTGCTAATGCCCCAAAACACATTCAGTGATTTTTCTTATCACCAAAAATAAGTGGTTACCTATACTTTTAAAATATAATACTTTAGGACTAGGATGTGAGGCCACAAAGAGCATTTCTGATCTTCCCTTCATCTATGCATTTCAAAAATACAATCAGATATCTGATTTTTATTTTTTTCCTGCTTCTGCCTTGCTCTAGCAAGTTTAATCTCAGTAGAATATTCTGAGATTAAAGTTATAGGTAGCCCTCAATTTATAACCACAGAACTAGTAGTATTTTTTTAAAATCCCACCACTGTATGAAGCAGTACGCAAGTCTAAGTGCTATTGCTAGGATTCAGCTGCAGATCCTGAGAATGACCACTAGATGGTAACAGAGTACCAAAATCTCTCTCTGCTGCCATCTAGTAACAGTGGGCTTTTTGCAGTCGAGATCAGGCAGTCTTAAAAGGTTCATCATTCTCTTCCTTGTCCGAGGTCTAAAACCTGGAGGAATACAGGCATCTGTCTTTTAAAATTAATTTTCAACTTTAAAAAGTACAAGCCAGTCTCTTCCAAGAGCCTCATGCCTTGCCTCACACAGAGCCTCACGCTTTCTTTTTGTTTTCTAATTTAAAATCTGAAAAGGAGGGGCGCGCGGGGGGGGGAGGTTTAGCTGCAAGGCTCGCGGTAGCCCTGGATTATCCAAATCCTGTAAAATGCAGTACAACTGCCTTTAGGCGCAATCCCATCCTCGAGCATCTTCCGCTTCCGTCCGTGCTGCGGGGCTGGTACTTTTGAGTTCAAGGTGGTGAAAAAGTTGGAGTTTTTGCCGTATCTACCCCCACCACCGCCGTTATAAATTCATTCCCGGCTGGAAGGAGAGAGAATAAATAATAATACGACAGGACTGGAGAAATCAGGAGTCCAAATCAGGTGAGAGGCGAGGGAGTGAAATGGATGCAGAGAGTCTCCTGCCGGTCGGCAGCAGATGGAATCAGCCCGCGGCAAGGGCGCCCGATGGGGAAGCGGCACGAAAAGAGAAAATAATGGCGCTGCCGAGTAAAAAGAGTACGAGCAAAAGAAAAAAGAAAAAAAAACAATCCTTGTTTTTTTCGAGTGAGAATGAGGAATTGGGAATGGAATAGTTTGGATAAAACATGCCTCTTAGATTTATTGCAGGGCGGGAAAAACGCTCTCTCTCTTACGCAACTTGTTCTCTTGAGAAAACGTGTTTTATTTTTAAACTTAAAGGGGCGGGTATCGGAAGTATTTGAAAATGCAACGTGTTTTAATCTTTCATCTCTTCTACCGATCGTTCTAAACAACTTGAAAGGCGACATGCTTGTCGAGAAAACTCTTCTTTTTAAAGGAGAAGTTTGTATATATTTCTTACTTGTGAGTAAGCCCAGAACCTGTTTTCCTCAAATAGGCAAAGAAATGGTAACTCCAAAGAATGTAAACCAACATCAAGTAATATGGCCAAATAGAAGTAATATTTAAAACGACCATTTTATTGCACTGTGACAGGGCACAGCCACCCATCACTGCCCTATTCCTGGAGAGCTGCTGGAAGATGACTGTGGTATTCTTCACTATCACCACAAGCCCACACTAAAGTCTACTTTTTTGCTTCATGGTGTATGTGAAGAAAGTGTAACTGTAGGAGAGGAAGCTTCAAAGCCAAGGTTGAACTAGATGACCTCTGAGGTCCCTTCCAACTCTGTCCTTCTATGATTCTATAAAATAGCCGTGAAAGACCAGTGTCTCACTGAGTCTAAAGGTCAGGAGGTGACATGAGGTGAAGAACTTCCAAGCCAACCATCTGACCCACAAACACTACAGTTTCAACATTTCAGTCTAGTCTAGAGGATTATCTTTAGTACAGTTTCAGATATATGCATCTGAGCAAGAAATCCATTGGCTCAGCCACAGAACATAATGAGGGCATTGGAATCGCATAGCTCTGAGCTGCATAAAGGGATCCTGTAGGATGTGAATTTAGACTCAGAGCAGCTTCCAATATTTGCTTTAAGATACATAACAAGAGATCATGTCTGACTAATTCTGGAGGGAGGCAACGGCATCTTATGGGGAAAAAACCCCAGTTTTGATCAATAAAATGGTTCCAACAGATAAATATATCCACTTATTTACCAATCTGAAGTAAGGTTAAAGGACGGCTCAAAATAGTAGTGGAGAAATGAAATGAACCTAGCAAATAACCTATCCTATCTTTTAGAAGAGACCAGGGTCAGACTGGTTTCATCTATTTGCCTAATTCCAGAGAATCCGCCTCACCAGCTGGCAGCACAGTCCAAGGGCAGCCTTAGCAAAAAATTTGCAAAATTGCAACTTTTCATCCTAAATTCCCTTTTGACCTAAATTCCCTCTTCCTTTTTGCCTTATAATAGAACTAATCCCAGTTACACTGATAAGGACCTAGGATTTCCTGTCTTGTAGCCCCCAACTTGTATAAAGAAATCTTTGCTTTCCTATTCTGGTCTGCCACTCCTACCTTAGGATATTGATCTGAACTTTTTCTTTTTGTTTTGTAGATTTAATAGCAAAAGGATGTGTTGCAACTAACCAGCCACAAATTTCATAATGTCTGCTGTTCTGAAGCGGTTGTGTTACATTGGATTCCATGTTCTTCAGGGCCAACAGCTGGCCAGTCACCTGGTGCAAAGGTTTGGCTTTGAGCTGTTTGCTATACGGGAAGCAGAGAGGAAGAGGCAGCAGGCTTTCCGAAGAGGAGATGCTATTTTTGTTGTCAATGAAGAGCAGGAGCTGACTGAGAAAACCTTTTCATCTTCAGATTTACCTTCAGACTGCTATAAGCATAAAGGGATCTTGTATGATGTGAACCTGCAGTACAGAGTCAGTACAGCTTCCAATATTTGCTTTGAAGTAGAGGATGTCCCTGCAATCTCCCGAAATCTACAAGAGAAAGGCTGCAAGATCCTTATTCCTCCCACCACTGAAGCAGATGAAAAGGGCTTTGTGACTTACTCCGTAGTGATGTCCATTGTGGGCAATGTCAGCCATACTCTTCTTGACAGATCCCGGTATGGTGGATCATTCCTGCCTGGTTTCTGTGAAGTTTCCCCCAAGAAATTCCAGAAGGAGCAGGAAACTGTACATTTTGATCACATCACCTATGCCTGTCTGCAAGGTAGCTCACAAGCTGTGCTGGACTGGTACAAAAACTGTTTTGGCTTCCAGCGCTTCTTCATCCACCATCTAGATGATGCTTCAGAAGGCTTTCGGATTCAGGGGGAAGACATGGGCCTTCGTCTTACTGCCATGCAATACAGTGATGATCGATTGTCACCCTTTGAGCCTGACTGTAAATTTGTTCTGGCTGAGTCACTGCCAAGGCAAAAGATGGGCCAGGTGGACACTTTCTTACAGCAGCATGAAGGAGCTGGCATCCAGCATGTGGCCCTTTATACCACAGACATTGTAAGTACTGCTGCAGCCATGGCAAAGTCAGGAGTAAGCTTTTTCAAACCACCCGTATCCTATTACAATGAGAAAAGCAAAGAGGAGATGCAGCACATTGGGCAAGATCTTCAGCTCCTGAAAAACCAGGGCATCCTTTTTGATGCAACAGTAGATGACAAAGGATATAGCCCTAGCCTCCTCGAGAAGCAATACCTGATGCAGATCTTCACTAAGCCTCTTTTTACAGAAGAGACCTTCTTCATAGAACTCATTGAGCGCCATGGGGCTGCAGGTTTCGGTGAGGGAAATGTCCGGGCTCTTTGGAAATCTGTACAGGATTATATGGATCAGCAGCAAAGACCCACTCTACTCGAGAACAAAGCCTGACAGAATGTTCTTTATGTTCTGCTCAGAGGCACCTTGAACTGCGAGATGGGTGGCAAATAAATTTGATAAATTATAGCTAAATAATATAGTGCTGCCTCAGATAGGATTAATGCCCACGTTAGAACAAAGCATATGGACTGATTTGGTTCAAATATGTACTGGTTTGGATTAAAGAGTGTCCAAGTGACCTGGAGACCATCTAATTAGAACCCATGCATGTTTGATGAGAACTGAAACCTGACTGTAGCAACGTTGTGATAATAATATCACACTTGAAAGCACGTAGGTTTTGCAATGCCTAGTTGAACTACTGAATTGGTAATTGATTTTTCTTTAACAAAGTACAGAGGCCTGAGAGAATGGCTGTGATATTTTCCCTAGGAAGAGAGAAATGCTCTCTATGTTAAAATAAGTGACTGCTATCTGCAGAACCTCCCCAGTCTTTGGGACCATGGAGTTCAAATCTGAAAAGGTGTAAAATTCCTGTTGCTTAATTATAGTACTCTTATTGAAGAATGCTGCCAAGTTAGGTAAGAAAAAGTGTCAATGAAAACAACCAAGCTCTGAAGACACAAAGACCAAACTGTGGACTACATATTCTCTTACTATTGGAAGAAAATCAGTTCTCTCTGTTCTTACATACTTGCATCCTCCAAATTTGGTGTTAACTGGACAAATAGGAGGCAAGGGTATCTGTTAGCCATTCTCACATGAATCAGAACATCTTTTTAACTATCAGAACATGGAACTATGGGGAATCTTTAGCATAGATCCAAGCATTTATATACAGATGGAATGTAGCTATTATGCTATTTACACTCCTAAAAACTGAAAACAAAACCTGACAATCTTTATCTAATATGAAGAACTGGGAATAAATGTTGTGATTCTCAAAACATATTGCTAACAAATCTTAATATATGTCCAAAATTGGCTCAATAGTTCTGTAGAAAGGCTCTTATTCCAGAATCCATTGAATATAAACAGATTTACTCGGTTCATTTCTTTAGATGTTCCAAGAACATCTAAAGAATTAATAGGAGTAACAGTGGTTACTCCTATTAATGAAATATTGGTCACATCCACTTGCTGTTACTGAATGCTACTGAAAGTGGTGGTGAAGTGGTAACTGCTCTCTCCGTATGTTTTCCTACCCACAAATATCTACCATATCTATTTCTTGTCCAAATATAGTTATATTTGCTGGATGCTCTTGAATATATTGCCTTGGATAGCAGTGTCATGTTTCTCCTTGCTAGAACAAGTAAAACAAATCACCTTAAAATGCAGAATGGATTACAACTCAATACAGTGTTTTGATTTAAGAATCAAGGGGATCGATTCACTTTTCAACACCTCATTCTTATAAATTTAATAAGTTTAGGAAAAACAGCGAAAAATGGAAGCTCACTAGTTTTTTTAATAAACAATCATTAAGGTTTTATTAGCGAAGCCACAGTTATAAAACAAGACATTTCAAGCATTTAAATAGTTGATCATATAGGAAAATGGCATGAAATACAATAGTAGTGTGTAGGCAAACAATGATTATTCAGGTACCTATTCCCAAAAGCAACTGACTCTAAAAAATAATCCTCATCTTGCTTTGCCACATTCTTTCAATATGCCATATCCCAAAACATCTGCTAGTTTGTAGCTTTCTTTGGCACAACTCGACTTGTGGGTGGGCATGTAAGGTTAAGGGCAGTGCTTATTTAATAAGACATTTAGCAAATCAGTAGGAAATCAAATGACACCATCACAGCATCATGCTTCAATATCTCACACATACTGGGCAGACTTATGTTCCTAGAGGACTCTATTCATAAGCCCTCAACAAAAAGAAAAGATTGACCCAGATTTCAAAATACTGTATCAGAATACTGAGAGTGCAAAATTGTACACTCTTCATGGTTTTTCTATACTGTGCCTGAATTTGCCATCAGCTATTGAGACCAGTTCTAAGAAACGAATGCAAAGAAAGCAGCTTCTTGGAAGAAATACTCTGTTCTTCAGGCTTTAATTGGCTGGTCCTGAGAGTCCCGTTTCTTCTTTTTCACAATCTGTACCATGATACACAAGTAGAGATTTAACAGAGAAGACCCTGCAAACAGCAACCTATTTCATCTTCTACTACCTGATCCTGTAAGCACTACTGTGATTAGTACCTTGGCCAACCACAAGTCAATTCACTGACCAATTTGGGGACTTACTTTAAAAAGAGGCAAGAGACTAAGAACAGGAAGCTAAACAAGGCATGAGCAAAATCTGCTTGGTTCTATCAAAAGATAAACTCACTTGGGCATCGTTGATTCTACAGCTCCATTTTTCATAAACTTTGAAGACCTGAAAAAGAACACAGAAACTATATACTCAAATAATTCTAAGGCCATTTTTAATGTGGATAGTATGTGGCAATGCTCAGCCTATATATGAAAATGAAATGGTACTAAGAGCAAGTTCTGTTCTCAGGAACCCTGTACATCTGGTTCCATTTTGTAGATGCTCATACCCTGTGCATGAATATATTGAGAAATCAGTTAAATGTTTGCAAATGTATCAATGATTAGAAATCTTGACATGGCTACACATAAACTTATCAGCTCTACTGCAGAACGTAGAGACATCAATGTGGCCCCAAGTTGTTACATTGACAGGCTTGAGTGTCTGCATAGAATTCGTTCTAATTCAGTGGTGTGTTCCGGATTCCGGTGCATTTGGTATGGTGCAATGGGGCCGGGCGTCCACCACAGGAATGCACGCAGCATGCCCGCGCATGCGTACTTACTGCCCGTGACGCTCCGCAACGCTCCAGCTGCTCGGTGGAACATTGCGCAGGCGCCGTAAGCGTGCGTGGAAGCCATGAACAGCTCAAATACAGGTAATGAGCGCAGGCGGGTGGGTCCTCCGGAGCACTGTACCGGAACAGTATGCCCGTACCGGGGCGTACCGGTCGTATCCCACCACTGTTCTAATTCCACAGAGAAGTGAGGAGACAGCATGGCTTCAGTTTCTGTGCACTGAAGTCTTCTGTTAACATTCCTTGGAAGCACATTGTCTGAACAATGAAGCAAATGGCATTCATATGAAATGAAACAATTGCAATTTTTAATTCTGTCATAAATCTCACTGGATGTCCTCAGGCCAATCGGTATCTCAAGGGAGGAGATTGGGATAGAAGAAAATGGACAACTGATTCTACATAAGTTGTAATGTATTCCTACAGTAAAGGCAAAATACAAATATAACACTTTTAGAGTACCTGCATATTGATTCCTCACATATAACTTTTTAGAGAAATGCAAAAATGCCACCATGAAAGTGTTTAAACCTCAGGTTTTCAGTACCTTTTTCATAGCTGTGGAGATTGCTGATATCTGAAATTCTGTTTTGGTCACCCATCGAGATGCTGGCAGTTCCACATTCCTATTCCAATTTTCCTCATCTTTGTCCACATTCAAAAAATAGATCAGGTATGTTTGGCGGATATGGGAGAAGATATGGAGAACCTGGGGAGGGAGTGGTGGATATGTGGGTGGATCCCTTACTCAATATTATGATGGGCAGAAGGAAGTCACTGAATGGTAAAGGTAGAAACTAGCCCCAAGGAGAGAAATCCTTGGAGTTTTCTTTGCTAACCTTTAGTTTTTTCTGCTTTGAGACAAGGAGCTGCAATATCCAACAACCCAAATGTAGCACATTCATCTTAGTTCCATGCATTTACTCTACTCTAAAACTTTACTATAATTGTAAATAGCAATATAACTTCTAATGCTAATGCTACCCCAAAGTGAACTGGGCTGAAGATCCAAGACACAGCAAAAACATGAGAGAAACTTGTTGGAAGACTGGCTAACAATGGCTGATTATAAAAGCATTACCAATTCCTATCTGGCATCCAATTTACCTCTCCGACATACTGTAGTTGCCTCACTGCCAAGTCATTGCCAAGCGAGGCTAGGAGGTGATCTGCCAGAATCACTTTCTCTTGCTTTTCCTGCCCTTGATCAAGGAGGATGCTAGGAAACTCCCACAGTCCAGCTAGCAGACCTACAAGAAAATGTCTAATCAGTGCAATTTAATATAACATGTTATATGTGTCAATTTGAACTCTCTGCTTAAAAAACAACCTATTGAAATGCTGCATGCTTTCAGCTAAAATTATTTCTACAGTAACTATGTAAGGAATGAGTATTATGTGTTAAAAGCAGTCTTTCCTTCACATATAGGAATTCAATAAACTTCGCTATTCAAATGTTTTCTCAATGAGCGTGGAAAAACATGTTATTAATCAAAAGATGCTTGGGCCCATCCCACTGGATAGTATCTGGAATGAACATACAAATAAACTGGCTCTTGGTTCAGACCTATAGATGCTCACATATTTATAGTTTCTTATTCAAAGTTATAAGGGACGCAGTGGCTCAGGGTCTAAGACGCTGAGCTTGTCGATCAGAAAGGTCAGCAGTTCGGTGGTTTGAATCCCTAGTGCCGCGTAATGGAGTGAGCTCCGTTACTTGTCCCAGCTTCTGCCAACCTAGCAGTTCGAAAGCATGAAAAAACACAAGTAGAAAAATAGGGACCACCTTGGTGGGAAGGTAACAGTGTTCCGTGTGTCTTTGGTGTTTAGTCATGCTGGGCACATGACCACAGAGATGTCTTCGGAAAGCGCTGGCTCTTTAGTTTTGAAACACACCACCCCCAAGAGACAGGAATGACTAGCACATATGTGCAAGGGGAACCTTTATTTTTTACCTTTACCTTTATTGAAAGTTACCAAGATAAAATTGGCTTCTTTATCCTAAGAAAAGCCCCTAAAAACCTTCAGAGAAACAATCCTTCTGGTAATTTCTTCTTTTTAAAAAACTAGACAAAAAGATACTCCATGATCAAGATCCAAATTTCTATAACTGCTACAGAACTAGAGCTGGAGATGTAACATTAGTTGACAATGCTTAGTTTTCTTTGGTTCCTTCTTCAGCTGGTTACCTGAGCTGGCCCTCCTCACCAGAAAGTACTCTGGATTCCCATCACTGCATCTCCTCTGTAGCACGCATGTGGCTGTGTGTTCTATTCTGGGCTGCTTCTTGGTAGTCTTTCTTGGGAAATTAGTGACACCAAGGCTGGGCTCCCATGGTACTGAAGGAGGCAGGCAGAGAGAACAGCTCCCTGAGACAGCAGCTGATAATGAGAAGGAAGCAATAGGCGATCAGCCAAACTCTGAAGTGCTGATGGTAGCAGGAGTAGTGCTTCATTATAATCTATTTTCATGGACATCTAGGACAGGAAGGTTTGGCTTGGCAAGAAGAACCACAGTTCCTCTGACTCTGCCAATCCCATGGTGACAAAGTTCAGCCAACCTCCAAACCTTCCTTCCCAATAAAGCCTTGAAAGACTAAGTTAATAAACAACACAATAGAACAGAATACATTTAAAATAGCAATGTTAACAAGTATAAAATAAGCATTACACAAAGATGTTATTTTTTATCCATTTGCCATGACCTCCAGATCCCATGATTACATTCAAAAATGAAAGTTGAATGTCCCCTCCAGCAAAGGCAACCTCAGTTTAAAGATGCAAACTTTCCAAATGAATAGGCTGTTTGGAAGCACATCACACATTCAATCCACTTTTTTCCCCACAAGGACATTGTTAAAGCCTTAATAATGAAGGTAATGCGAAGACAAAAATACAATTTCTCTTGAGGGATTAAACCAGCTGATTTGAGAGCATGATCACAAGTCTGCCCCTTCTTATACATCATCAGGACAACGAAGCAATGTCTATGGCAAGAGGTTAGTTGGGAATGAAGTTCTGAGTCTTCCTCGCTTTTATAAAACCTTAATTCTCACTCTCAGTCTAAGCAATCATCCTGGTAATGTAAATTCTTTATTAGCACTTACCACATTCCTCCATATCTAACACAGGGACGTTTTTAGAAGCAGTTTTTCCTAAGAGTCTCTTGGTGGAATTTAACCGATGCTTTTCCACCTGCAAAGGATAAAGGGTTTTTGTACTAGTAAAAGTGTAGGAAGAGGGTGAAGGTAACAACAGGGAGAGACGTGTCTGGAAGGACACCAAGACCTGCCTATTTTAGGGTTCAATTAATCATGATTCCAAATAAAGATTAAGCCAAGTGAAAAATTGGACAGCAAGGCTTGTTATGAAGCAGCCTTTCTCGTACAATTTTTTGTAGTAAATAAATATTAAAACCCATGCACTCTCCAAAGGAGCAAATTTCAATTTTTATAACTTCTCAGGTGAAACAAGGACACTAACTTCACAATTGATAGAAAAGTTAGGAGTTGCGCAAAGAGCCATGGAAAGATACATGTTCAGCATTATAAGACAAGATAGAAAGACCTGCACATGGGTTAGAGAACAATGAAAGTATGAGATATCAAAAGAATAAAATAATTGAAATGGAAATGGGCTGGTCACATAGCAAGAATAACTGATGGCAGGTGGACCAAGGCAGTCATAGAATGGATCCCACTAAATAAAAAGCATCCATGAAAGAGACCTAAAATAACATGGATCTACAACATCCGCAAGTATTGCGGGCCCAATTGGCAAACGGAAGCTCAGGACCATATTGGTTGGGAACATGCGGAAGAGGTCTTCATCCTGCAGTGGATAGACAATGGCTAAAATGATGATAGCCATTACTAAGAATTCTGGGAGTTGAATTCCAAGTAACTAGAGCCAGGGTCAGTAATCTGCAGCTCTGGAGCCGCATGTGGCTCTTTCATACCTCTGCTGTGGCTCCCTGTCCCCGGCTGGCTCCACAATTGATAGGGCTTTTGGTCAACATTTAAAACAAAAAGAGTTGTAGTAGAATTTCTATGTGGAAGAGAGTGTGAAAAATAATTTATATGCTGATAAATACAAATATAACAAAGCCTCACTAGGGCAACATTATTAGGCTAACAGTGCAAGCCTATCCAAACACACCCAAAAGTAAATCTAAGATCTTGAAGAGTGACTTATTTCTGAATATATATGCATAAGGCTACAACCTTAATCATACTAAAGCAACATAATGCTGTTCAAGTATATTAAGACTGCAACTCCCTAAATTCCCAGTCTATAGAGGAAGGTCGTAGTTCCTCTCAGCCTCAAGATTCATATGTGATCCTATCTACTGTCTTCCTGGAATTTTCATGTATTCCACACATGAATGTGCGTATGGTGTTTTAGTTTAAGATACAAAGTCATTGCACCACTAGTGTGGTGGGTTCTGGACGGTTTGGCCCGGTACGGCTGTACCGGGAGTAGCAGGGAGAAGTGGCCACCGTACCGGTACGGTGGCTTGTTCGGCCCAGCCGCCCACGTTCCATGGCCATTTAATAACATGACTGGCCCATTGCGCACGCGTTCACAGCATGCAGCGCCTGCACGACCTCCGCCGGGTAGCTGAGTGTTGCAGGGCGGTGGCAGTCCGGAACCCAACACTGCACCACACCCCACCCCACAAAGAACAAAGCCTCTCTCATATCATTCTTGCAGATCTGGGTAGAGCATTCAAACAAACAGGATGTCCTTACTTGATGGAGAGCTCTGCAGTGCTGTTTCACTGGACATTCCATGCATAATGGGGTCTTGGGAGTACACACAGTTGCACCCAATTCCATCATTGCTTGATTAAAGTCACCTGGATGGGTCTGGTCAACCAGAGTGTGGGCTAAAGCCCTAAGAACAACAGCATTGTTATTCATTAATGCTACATACTGTAGAGGGGAGGAATTCAAGTTAGAAAAAGATATGGTTCACTTGTTCAAAAAAATCTCCTGCTATTCCACAAATTGCATTGCATGCAACTTGGCATAACGTGAGACAACCCTGCACACTATGGAATGGCTGAGATAACAATTAAATTAATATTTTTTCATGAAGTAAAAACTAAATAAAGTGGAGTGACAAGTACCACATTAAAAATTATGTTCAGTTTTCTCTTCAAGCCGAGAACATTATGTACTGCATTTTGATATCTATACAGAATCTTAAATATACCAAAACCCCATTACAGCTAAGATTTCCCATCAACATCTCCGAATCAAAAAACACCAAATTTCTTTCTTCAGGAAGTATTCCTCTCCTCTAGAGCAGTGGTTCCCAACGTGGGGCCCACGCCCACAGGGGGGCAATTTGAACCTTGTTTAAACCAAGTTAATGGCCTTTTAGGCTTCCTCCGCGTGAGTAGAGTTCACTTTTTGAGTAAAGTAAGAGTGTCACGAGGGAGGGGTGTCAGGATTTTAGAGATGCTTGGCCAAAAAAAGGTTGGGAACTTCTGCTTTAGAGCATGTATTAAACGTGTCAAATATTACATTGAGATCTTCTTTCTATTCTATTCATTACTGTCATTGCTAAGTCTTTGCAGGTGTAGGTTGCCCCCGACATACAACACTTCATTTAGTGACCATTCAAGGTTACAATAGCACTGAAAAAAGTGATTTAGGACTTACAACCATTGCAGGATCCCTAAGGTCATGTGATCAAAATTCAAACGCTTGGCAACTGACTCATATTTATGACAACTGCAGTGTCCCTAGGGTGATGTGACCACCTTTTGTGACCTTTTGACAAGCAAAGTCAAGGGGGAAACCACAGTCACTTAAAAACTGTGTTCCAGCTTAACAACTGCAGTGATTCACTTAAAAATGGTGGCGAGAAAGGTCATAAAATGGGGCTAATGTCACTTAACGTTTCGCTAAACAACAGAAATTTTGGGCTCAATTGTGGTCGTAAGTCAAGGACAATCTGTATTAACATTACCCATCATCTGTAAAACCACTACAAATCCTTCCTCTCGTGTCAGACATTAGTTTACTATTTTAGAGCATTTTGGACCTCAATTATTAATATGATCCTCTATAAAACTTCACATTTTTATTTTAATAACTCCAGGATCTTTTATTAGAAAAATCTGATATTGGCTGTCCTCACCTTATGACCATTCATTTAACAACCGTTTGAAGTTACAACAGCACTTAAAGAGTGACTTACAACTGGTTGTACTTATGATCTTCGCAGCATCCTCAGAATCGCAATTGCAATTTGGGTAACTACTATATATTTACAACAGTTGCACCATCTTGTGGTCACCTGATCAGCATTTGTAATCTTTCCAACCAGCTTCCAACAAGTAAAGTCAATGAGGGAAGCTGGATTCATTTAACAACTGTATGATTTGCTTAATGACATTTTGTTTTTGGTAAATTGGGAACAATTCCCTCAACAACTGTAATGTCGTAATAGCAGAAGTTCTGGTCCCAACTGCGGTTGTAAATCTGGGACTACCTGAATGAAGGTAGTTGCTCAGCAAGTATCTTATCTTTTTATTCCATTCTGTAAAGTCTAACCTCTTAACATGACATGATAGACAAAACTTATTACTAAGATATTAATGTCCTAATACTTGAATAAAATATTAGATATGACCCCAACAACAATGTATTGTGACTATAAAAATCTTGATTTATTTTGCTTCCTACTTCGGGTGTGCCCAAAGCAATGGCTATGGGGAGGGATATACAAATAAGCACCAAATAAGAACAGAAAAAAGCCTATTTTGTTTAGAAACAATTCATTATTTATCTCACTGTAAGCCACAGGAAAATCTAGCCAACAAATATTTGCATTGAGCCCAAGTTTAAAAAGTTATCTAGAAATGAATGAGAAATTACTCTTCCTCTATAGAATCTGATGGCATAAACACATAATTCTAAGAATCTTTCATTTCATTATTTAAATTTTGAGACTTCATAGTTGTGGACAAATTTTAAAAACACGGAAATTATGTATCCTGAAAATTCAGCGATCAGTGTAAGCACTATTTTTAGGTATACTATCATCATTCTTTATAGCTTCTGTTCATTCCTCAGCACGCTGCTTAATCCAATCCTAAATGATTTTAGTGTGAGTTATAACTTGCTTCTTCTGCAGGAACTCAAGGCAGTTGTAATTGGGATTTCTCTTCATTTCATCCAGCAACAATCCCAGTGAGCTACACTGGACAGAGATCTTTAAGTCCTCTTGACTTCAAAGGGACTTCTTACATGCAAAGCCCTTTATTCTCTATTGCAGGGGTGTCAAGCTCAAGGCCTAGAGGCCGAATCTGGCCCTCAGGGTGCTTAGACGTGGCCCACAGGGCCACCCTGGAAAGAGTGAAGGACCAGCCTGCAGTGCCTCTGCCAGCAAAAACAGAGCTTGGGAGGACTGCGGGTGGAGGGTTGCCAGAAACTGTCGTAACAGATGGCCCTCCTGAGCTCCATTTTTGCTGGCAGATGGTTGCAGGAGGCTGTCGTAGCCGAAAACAGAGCTCAGGAGTTCATTTTCTCTGACAAAGCGCTCGGATCACCACAGGCAACCACAACACGAGTGACATCAAGCTGGCCATGTCCACCCTGCCCCCCCCCCAGGTCAAACACAACCCTAATGCAGCCTTCAATGAAATCAAGTTTGACACCCCTGCTCTATTGTATGAATTATTGCTTTATAGATCTTAGTGCCTTGTAGGAATGAAAATATTTCCTTACCAGAGTGCGTCTGCAGCAGCTGAATTGGCAGGGTCAGCACCAATGGCTCTTGTACGACACAAAACTCGAGTCACATTTCCATCTACCACTCCTGTCACCTGTATATTTTGAAGAAAAACCTACCAGTTCATATACTTGAGAAAACTTGTATCCCGGAACAAATGAAAGAGAAAATCAGGAGCTGAATGATAACAAAAGGTACCCACAACCTGTTTGAATCAACTTCATGAATTTGAAGGGTCTGCATTGAGTAAAAAGTGCTTAAAATCCTTTCAAGAAATTACTTGACTGGTCCTAAATAAACTAAACACATTCAGCTTTGGGGCCTCTATTTACAAAATGAGGGATAACAATTTACTGACCTTCCTTACTGGGCTGCTGTACAGGATTAAAAAAACCAAAAAACTAATACAAAACCACACAGTATGAATACTATTTGAGAGTATATGTCAAAGAATACTGTTCCCCGATTTGATAAATCAGTCTCTCACCCTTCCTTCAACACATATAGCATTCTTTCTCTCAACAATTCCCAACAATGATACATCTGGCTCAAAATCATCCAACAAGCTTTTATGCTTGAGATAGATTTCAATGAGTCTTCAAAACATACTCATGACCACAGTACCATACAGGCTGTGTACAGATTTGCTTGGTCATCTTAGAATTGTCTGTTCAAATCCTCCTCCACCTTCCATGAAGGGAAGTAGGTTGTTTACAAGGGAGAGGGCCTTTTCAGTTGGGCCTCCAGGTTATGCAAAACCATCTCCAGGGAAACACACTTGTTTGCAACTGATCTATTTTTAATACTAGGCTAAGACTGGCTGTTCCTCCTTCCAAGCATTTTACAGTTCATGTAGACATCAGGAGCCACGCTAAAACCAAAATATTTATATTTGCATCTGTGCATGCACATGCATGATAAACCTTTCCTGTTCCACTTATTATATTTTATTGTTGCTTTATTTTAATTTTGTAGTAATTTTGTGATTGGTTAAAAGAATTTCAATTATTGGATGTTACTGATATTACTAATGACTAATGTATATCATAAAATGTATGTGAATAGAGCCATTCTTTCTAAAAAATAAAAGCAACAAGCATAGCCTCCATTTTACTGGTTCTTTTCCACCCTACTGGAAAATATTTCATCTTTTCACTAAGCCCTTCCAACAAGGGGAGATTACTTTTTTTTGGTCTCTAAACACATAAACGGGTTCAAAATAGAAGAAGCCTAAAGCTGCAAAAGGGCAATTAAGATAGAAGATGTTTGGAGAGCTGGGAATGATTATTTTTTGCAAAACAGAGACATGGATGCCCAATTCTATCTTCCATATTTACCCTAAAGCAAGGTTAAGTAACTAGAATGATAACATCATTACCTGGCCAAATGCTATGGATGCAATAGCTCCTGCAGTGTACTTGCCTACTCCTGGCAGCTGCTTCTGCAGTTCTTCTGCTGTCCTTGGCATATGACCTGCCAGTTGTGACATCACCTGTAAAAGACCAGTGAATAAAGCAATCAAAGGGAAAGAAATAAACTGAACGTCTACTATACTTCTAACAAGAAGGCGGTGCTGTATCCCTAGTATTTTCCAACACAAAAATGTTTTTATTTAAAAAACACGTCTCTAAGAGGTTCAGACATGCTGTTGAAAGCTAATAGTTCTTTAAGATGTTCCCAACCATGTCGATGTAGGGTCTTGAAGACCTGACGTAGGGCAATGTGTTGGATGAACCCATTTATAATGATTGGAATGTGAAAATGACTAAAGTTTAGTCTTGGATGTTCTAGTTTATTTAAACTTATTGGCCACCCAATTCTAGTGGAATCAAGGGTTGGGTTTTTTTTCTTTGTTGTTAGCTTGTTCTTGGATTTAATCCTAGATTAACCCCCCCCCCCCCGGTCTCAATTTGTGAAGTGACTATAAGACAAATAAATAGAACTATCTTCTTGCCAAAGTTAAGTGCCAAACTCATTCACCCAGTAACTCATTAATATTGTCTAAACTAAAGTACCTTTTGGGAACCTTCCTGGAGCCTTTTTCCTCGAGAATAGTAGCCAAGGCCTGCCCATAATTCATTCACTTCCTATTCTCAAACAGAAATGAGGGAGGGGGGGACCAAATTAACCCATATATATATAAATTTCCTTTTTGCTTTACAGTTAATAAATGTGTGCATATTTTTATTTTATTTTATTTATTTAGTCAAACATGTACGAGATAACAGGCATAAGTATAAACATGGGCAGAAGCACATGAAATGAATACAAATAAATGGAGACAGTAGGGCAGGGATGGTAGGCACGCTAGTGCGCTTATGCACGCCCACTTACAGACCTCTTAGGAATGGTGTGAGGTCCACAGTAGACAGTTTAAGTTTATATTGAAGTTTAAGTTTATATTCATAAACATATTGAAAATCTTTTTACCTCTAATGAAGCTTCAGCTAAATCCTGCAAGGTTGGCCATTTCTACATCACAAAGAAAAACAGGTGTTTATTTACTGGCTCTGCAAAGCAGAACAAATGCACAAATCATTCAGAACCCAGAATGCTGGTTAATGTAAATGTGAATTTGCCACAAAGAAAGGAGCTCAGCTTCACCTGCATCCAACGATTGTAGTAATTAATCACTGAAGCCACTTGGGTTTGCTGGAGCATGATCTCCGATACCCACACTGCAAGCACAAAGGGGAAACAGCAGCATCAGAGTGTGGATTAAAGATACCTAGATCAAGGAAGCATGATAAAAGAGATATGCCCCTTAACAACTATATTAATAAAAACAATATATAATCAAATACATGTTATCCAAATCAACATATAATCAAACGCCAATCAAATCACTTGTTCTGTTGATGAGAATTGACCACATTTTTTTTGCATTTAATATACTTTGATGAAATAGATGAATTATTGCTCTCACCAGCATATGCTCGTTTGTCATCATCAGTTTCAGTTGCAGCCTGCAATAGAGGAACAGGAAGAATAAAAACCCAATGCAACAATCATCTCCTTATTAAAAAAAAACAAAATATTTCTGAACCACTCCTTATTTTTCCATACCAGTTTCCTCCATGGTAGATCTCGTTTACATTTATTGTACCAAGATAGCAGTCTTTTCTGGAAGTCTCTGATTTTTACTGCATCACTGAATGTGTGAAATAAAGACTGGGAACTTGGCACTTCTATAGTAAAGAGAAATTAACATTTTAAAGTTAGCATTTCTTAGGGCTACATTGAGAGAGCAATCAATTTGGAATTGAATTTTTTGCAATTTCACTCTCCAATTTATTAGAATGTATAATCAAATAAAAGATTTAGTTAGGAGTGATCATCTCAAGATGATAATTACACTTTAAATTATATTTAATATTATTCACTACAATCAATCAGAATAGAGCTGGAAGGGACCTTGGAGGTCTTCTAGTTCAACCCCCTGCTCGAGCAAGAGACTCTAACCATTTCAGATAGGTGGCTGTCCAGTCTTTTCTTTAAAACCTCCAGTGTTGAAGCACCCTCAACTGCTGAAGGTAAGCTGTTCCACTGATTAATTGTCCTCACTGTTAGGAGGTTTCTCCTTAATTCCAGGTTATTTCCCTCCATTGTTTCTTGTCTTGCCTTCTTGGTGCTTTGGAAACAAGTTGACTCCCTCTTCTTTGTGGAAACCCCTCAAATACTAGAATACTACTATCATGTCACACATAGATCTTCTTTTCTCTAGACTAACCATACCCAATTCCTACAACCATTCTTCATATGTTTTTGTCTCCAGGCCCTTAATCATCTTAGTTGCTCTTCTTTGCACTTTTTCCAGGCTCAAACTGGATGCAGTATTCTAAGATGTGGTCTTACTAAATCCTTAGTAATGATTTAGTAAGACCACACCCCTGGAATACTGCATCCAGTTTTGGTCACATTAGAAAAAAAGTTGAGACTTTGGAAAAATACAGTACTACTCTTTTTATTCTTTTGTTTCTTGAGCAAAATCTTTGTGTAGTTCCATTACCTTTGTAAAGTACAAGTCCTTTTTTCACCTTTCTTTGATGATTTTTGGATTTTCCCAGATTGCTGCACATTTGGCGTTTACTCATTGCCAAGCTATGGAGAGCATAAAGTATGTTATCATTAGATTAAATCAAACTCTTTCCAAATCTAAATGTAACAATTTGTGCAACTCGTTATATAAATACTCTGAATTGTACCAAATTTAGTATGCAAACAGATAATCACAAAATTACAAATGTGGGCAATTTGAAAAAATATGCTGTAAGGAAAAATTATCTATCTATCTATCATCTATCTGTCTGTCTATCTGTCTGTCTCTGTCTGTCTATCTATCTATCTATCTATCTATCTATCTATCTATCTATCTATCTATCTATCTATCTATCTATCTA